AAGCCACGGGCGACTCTGTCGGACCCCGGGAGGGGTCTGACGACTGCGGGGGCCGGGCGGCATCGCGCGCCTCGTCTGCCCGCGTTGCTCGCGGTGAGCGGCCGGCCTTGTGGCAGACGATCGCCCAGTCAGACCGCGGTAGCAATGTTGCAACCCTGGAGCGGATCGACGCGTTCCTCTTGGCGACGACCGAAGGGGGATCCTGGATGTCTGCCGTTTCGTTTCAAAGTGGGCAGAGCTGTCCTCGCCGAGCACTATGACATCAGCGCCGTTTCTCCCGGGGTCGCCTGGGCGTGGGCGCCGGGGCCGCCGGGGCACGGTGGCCCGCGCATGCTCCCCCCCGACAACGACGCCGGCCAGGCGGAACATGCGTGCCGGCGGTGCGGCGAGATCTTTGCGTTCACCCTGCTGCCTAGGCGGCGCAACCGCCGCGACAGAGCGGCGCTGGCAACGTGCAGGAGCGCCACTGCTGCGCGGGTCGCCTTGCGAGGGCTAGCTGCAGAAAGGCCGACGTGGACAGTGTGGCCAGCGACCAGTAATCCGATTGTCCGAAGGAGGTGCCCTTGCTCCCTGACGCCCTTTCGGGCTCCCCTGGCGGTCAGCAGACCTCGCAGGAAGACGCTGGGTCCGGCAGGCCAGGAGGGCGCGGAACTCCTCGCAACACTGGCTGTCTGTAGGAGGCACCTTGATCCCTGACGCCCGTCCGGGCACCCCTGGCGGCGGATCGCAGCCCCTCCAGGGACGGCGAGGTTTTGCTCAGGTCTCCGCGGTGCCTCAGCCTGCAGGACCCACCAGCAGCCTTCGAAAGTGGCGACAGTGTCGCAGATCGCAGCCCCCCCAGGGACGGCGAGGTCTCGCAGCAGCCCTCGAAAGTGGCGACAACGCCGCAGATCGCAGCCCCCCAGGGACGGCGAGGTCTCGCTCAGGTCTCCGCGGTGCTTCAGTCCGCTGGACCCGCCAGCAGCTTGCGAAAGTGGCGACATTGTCGCAGATCGCAGCCCCCCCCCCCCAGGGACGGCGAGGTCTCGCTCAGGTTCCCGCGGTGCTTCAGTCCGCTGGACCCACCAGCAGCCCTCGAGAGTGGCGACGGTGTCGCAGATCGCAGCCCCCCCAGGGACGGCGAGGTCTCGCTCAGGTTCCCGCGGTGCCTCACTCCGCAGGACCCACCAGCAGCCCTCGAAAGTGGCGACAGTGTCGCAGATCGCAGCCCCCCCCCAGGGACGGCGAAGTCTCGCTCAGGTCCCCGCGGTGCCTCCGTCCGCAGGACCCACCAGCCGACTTCGAAAGTGGTGATAGTGACGCAGATCGCACCCCCCCCCAGGGACGGCGAGGTCTCGCTCAGGTCCCCGCGGTGCTTCGCTCCGCTGGACCCACCAGCAGCCCTCGAAAGTGGCGACAGTGTCGCAGATCGCAG